TCCTGCACAACGTCGCACTTCATCGTGCACACTGCTCCCTGCAGTGTTCGTCTCTGCTCTGACAGTGTGTGAATAAATACTGTCATAAGACAAGACTGTAAACCATGCCCTTGTACTGACTGCTTTGATATAACTGAGGATATTTGTTTTATCACACAGGATTTCACTGTATCCTCATCACTGCTGTTTATTTCATTTGTTCTAAATTAGGTGTTTTCCTATGAGTGAAGGAAAAGCCTGAAGGAACAGCTTGTAGGAACAGCCAGGTCCATTTTATTTACTGGTATCATGTACTCAGTTTTGTTTACTGAGTGTGCAGGTTTTGTGTTTGCCAAGTTAGTCTTTGGCATCTGGGCATGAAAACACTGCACCTTGAGTTTTCCAATGCTGTCCGCCAGAATCATGCATAAAGTGTCTGTGTGTCTGTAAAGTTGAGGGAAAAAGGGGGCTTTGTATATATGTATATGCTGGGATTGCTACCAAACTCTCCTCCCTCTCTTGGAATCATACACACCCTTGAATGTTGATCGATGCTTTTAGCTTTTATGAGTCTACTAAGACCCATGATTTTAGGATAAATCCACAGTAGTAAACTGGCAAACCCTCAAATGTGCACACTCACCATAATACAAGTGTTTAACAGTTAAAGCCACAGAGATCCTAAAAGTATTTAGATGCCCAAGTCTTTTGATGTCATTTTCCAGTATAGTATATTTAACTGTAAATGTATCTTTTAAATACAATCTTTAACAACTTCACATATTTATTTCTTTAAGCTTTATTTCACCAACTTTTATATAATCTACCTCAGGAATTCTTCTGAAAAGTGTGGTGTTCAGTGCAATGGTCATATTTTTTTAGCACACAACAATGCCACCTACTGGTATGTGCATGCTGACTCCATTAGTATACATGGAATGGCATTGTGCATCACAGTTAAAAACAAGGATTATAGTGTTGTGCTTCTGTATCCCTGGGTCCCAGCCAGCCTCGGTCTGCCAAGCACAGTCCTTAACCATCTGGCTCCCCGTGTCACCTCTAAACCCAACACCTAACCTTGACCCAGCCCTGCATATCTCTCTGTGCAGCGGATAGGAGGAGCAGCTCAGGTCTGAATAGGCACTCTGTGTGAGCAGGAACCAGTTAGATGGTGAGTTTCCTTTGAAAAACAGCAGGCGTGAGCCAGGAGAGTGAGAAGAAGAAAACACCAGGCCAAACTGTGAGGCACTGTTACTATTACATCATCCTGACTCCCAGCACCTTCCCAGCCTATTCAGTCACTTGGTTATTTCCTACACTCTCCACACTCCACTTCTTTTTAAGGACTCATTAGATTTTTTCACACTTCTGTTCACCTGTCTTTTATTCTTTCACTTGACTTTCATCCATTATTTCCACAATAACCTGCATTACCTTTTTTTTTTTCAATTCTCTTTCCCCGTCACAGTCTCTGCTTCTACCTGAACAGGCTTAGGGATACTTTCACTTCAGCTGTTTTTTTTTTTTCTTTCGGAGCTGGGAGAAAAATGTAGACACTCCAAGCTGTTTAAATTAAGAGCAGAAAACATTGGAGGCAGACTGGATGTGGAGCTATATTTAGTTCACCATGTCAACAGCCAACGACTCTGTTTTGAAGTGAATAAAATGTTTGTTTGGTTTTTTTTTGTAAAACATCTGAGCCGGTGTTGAAGATACAGCTGGTGGCACAGATGGTTTTAATCCACTGACTTCTTTATAATTGTGAAGCCACATTGTGTAAAAAAAAACAAACAACCCTTTCATTTTGTGTTTAATTGAGCTTTTAGATGATTATTTTGTCTTTTCCATGTGCACTATCACATGCGTGTTTGTGGTTCATGCAGCAACGTTATTGATCCCTAATGAGGCATACATAATAAATGCAATATGTTGTGTGCAACACTGTGTACATGATACAGTCTATGCTTGTACATAATAGGATTAAACAGTGTCACAAGTTAGGAGTCTTAAAATCTGAGAGCAAATAGGCAGACAGGCAGTCTGAACAAGGTCTGAAAAACTACTGTTTAAAAATAACTAGTGCATCAACATTAACTATTAGCTTGGATTTTTTTAGTGTAAAGAAGTAGCTGCCACCAGAAAACACCCTTCCTTGTGGACACTCTACTTTGAGCATCAATAGCATACCTCTATTGACTGTGTCTTTCAGAGCAACACGACTGTGTGCTCATTCAACCATCAAGTGTCTAAAGTGTCTGATTAAATCACTATACCCTGTGGGATCCTTGGCCACTGATCCACCACTGCTGAGTTACTATGTGCATGCATACCTGTTGTATATGCTCAACAGGTGGAACAACTCTGTCAGCAGTTGATGGGCTACTCTCTGACCATCCGTGGCTCCGTTTTTCTCTTGTCAAGGGCAATAGAAAAATCCCTGCTCTCTCTCTCTCAGCAGATGTAATGGTGTTGAAATAATCTCTTAAAAAGTGAGATGTTCACAGTGTCACTGCTAAAGATACAGGACCATCACAAGCACAACAGTTAGTCATGGTGTTGTTCTTGACCTACATTTACCATATTGGTCAGCTGTTACTTATCCCTGCTGCCAGCTGTGAACCAACTAAAACTGTAATTTTGAGTCACAGTCATAGAAAGCTCTTATCATACCATCACAAATGGCAGCTTGTGGTATTTCTATAAATTTCCATTGCCTTATTGTCCAGATAGGATCAACACAGGCCCAGAGAACAGACACTAATATAAAGGAAATTTAGCAGAGATATTTACAAAGACAAGCCTTTGGTAGATGATCCTTTAATACCTAAACATGTCAGCAGTTAACCTTTTAACCAACTAACTCATTTATAAGATGAGCATTTAGAACCTATTCATTTTTTCATAGTATTATTATATTTTATTATTAACAAATTAAATTTAGGTTCACCAGTAATCACATGACAGGTCTTTTTTTTATTTCCTGTTAAGGAAAGAATTGCATTACAGAACTGCCAAAAATGTACTTTTAAGAAAGAAAGTTTTTGTCTGTATAATGTACATTTTTTATGATGTTTGTTTTTGGTTGGAGAATGCCAAAAAAAACATACAGATAGTAGCCTAAATCATACAGACACTCCAGAGCGTGCTGAGTAAACTAAGCAGATGGCCATAGCATCTGTCGACATCTTTATTATCACCTCCACAAAAGCACAGAGAAGAAAACCTGGAGTGACTTGTCTGTGCCTTCTGGAGGTGGATGCCTAGCCTTGATAAGATTGATGGTTATGCTCTTAAGGAATAACCTGATGCCAAAGGCAAACTGTCACAGGGGAATTCCAGGGCTTTGAGGCGGGTCAGTCGGAGCAGGGGTTTAAGGCTGAGGTAGATGTGTGGTCTGCAGCTCCTAAAAGGGGCCTCTTGTTGTGGTAGGAGGTGTTGAGAGGAATGGCTGAGCTGCTCCACACACACTCACAACAACACCACATCCACTAAAATGGCCATTCTGTTCACCGATGAGATCAGTGGAACAAATGGAGGCGCTGGATGATGTCATGTTTGTGATTTGGGGTCAAAAGCCCAGGGTCATGTTGGAGTAAGATGTGTTGTCTGTTGGGACGGAGTACAAAAAGGTCGGTAACTGTGGTGTTTTCCGTTACATCCCAGCTGTGCATCAACCCACACATGTTCACCTTTGCATTTTATCAGGCTACATTAATAATTGCACATGATTTCATTGGAAAATGACATGTACCAGTTGCAAATTAGTTTAATCTAAATAGGGTCAGTTAAAAAAACTCAACTGCGGACGTAGAAAGGTGAGCGACTGTCTGAGCACTAGCCGTAAATTTGGTAATCGTTCAGGCATAATATAACTGCATCACGAAGAACAACTGTGAACATCTATCTTATCTTTGCATCAAAACATTCATCACAAGTGCTCTTTTGTGAATACTTGACTGTCATTTGATGGACGCCCACGCTGTTAGACTTTCAAACCCCTGCTGTGGATGATTTAGAATTTAGACTTTAGTGAGAAGTATTGTAACAACCCTGGTACAGTGGACTCCAGAAGAACATAATTATACTGAGCTTCCTTCACAGACTGTGTCACAAGTCAGTTATGTCACTATGTGCTGTTATGCAACAACATGTGTAAGTTTATTTAGATGCTATTTTTAATCAGTATAAATGCCCAGCTCGTGTGCTGGCAGTGAGAAAACACAGCTGTCATCCGGTAACCCACCCAGGCTGGGGCTGAGACACTCAGTGTCAGTGTAACTGTGAATATGATCACTGTTGATCCAGCTTGTAAGGTGTAGTTAGCTGCAGCAGGCTCTGTTTTATGATGCTGCTGGATCACTTTCTCCTGTGGCACATGATGATGTACTGCTGTATTGATAATAAGGAGTGAAAGTCGTAAACATGGGCTTAGGCTGGATTTACGGCTGTCTTCCAATCAATAACTCAGATGCCATCAGTGTGTTGTATTGGTCCATTGAAGTTAGATAACAGTCATGTTCATGACGTGATGTGCAGCACAACGGCACCTCAGGCGAGTAGAGAGGAGAAGAGGAGCGAGTCTCTACATGACTCTTTGGGTTTTGTAAGATGAGATCGTGACGGGAACATAACAATGTGATAACAGTTACTCTGACATAAGGTAGTGTTGGTGCAGCAGTGTGTGAGTGTGAAGAAGAGCAAAAATCCTGTCAGTTTCAGTGAGTAGGCATTACCTACTGCCCTCTGATGGCCAGTGGGGGACAAGAGCAATAAGCAATGACATTAGATTATATTTGAAAAAAAGAAAAAAAGAACTGTAGTTACAAAAGAGGGAAGTTTTTTTATATAAAAACATATATATGTGTATACTGTATCTGTGTATATATTACTCTATACCCTGTGTGTGTAGTCAGAAATCTACATTTATTATTAAGTAAATTGTATTAAAATTGGATTAAATTAAAAATAACATTATATATTGTCAATCGATTTTGTATTGCATATCATATTTGGTCTTAATTAATCCCTGTTCTTCATTGTTTACATGAACATATAGCTGAAATAGTTAAAGAAAACATTTCATTTGGGATCTGAATGGCCCCAAGGACAACACGAGGGTTTAATCAAGCCCAGTGCATTATTTTCACTCAAACTACAGCACAATTGACATGATATGCTGAAAAGTTGAATACTATGTTGCCTACAGGTTCTGTATCTCATCAAACACACACTGGTCTTAACTCCCTAGAAGAGAAAAATACCTTTCTTTTTAAGTTTTTAATTTTCACAACACCTTGTTGTAACAACTATAACCTGTCCTTGTGCCCCAGTACATCCTTCAGAACAGTTACTGACACAAAGTCCCAAGGCCTTCCTTTAAACACATGAACTACAGAAAGTTGACAAAAGCCAAACAAAATCACTTTAGAGAACTGCTTTCAACAAAAGCTCCAAGAACAGATAATTTTCTTTGGACTCTCTCTTCTGGGCCGTTTCATTGATCAAACCTTTTTTTCCAAGTCGAGATTTAATAAATCTGAACTAGAGACATGTTATTGCAGTTTCGACTGTAGGAAGGAAGGGATGATGAGGATGTAGAAACAGCAGCAGCAGAGAGGAAGAGACATAAATAACACTTTGATAAAAGGCAGTGCAGTCAATGAGTCAATAGGAAATGCTTGAATCTCAGAGGGAGCGGTCAGTGTGTCCAGAGGAAAGTTCTCTCATCCTGTAAAACGCAGTGCAATGACACTGGAAAGGTCGCAGTCATTCATTCAGCTGCTGCTCCTTACTCATGCATCATGAGAAAACTGCAGCAGACTCACTGCACACTATGTCTCTTTATCTGACCTCCACAGTCTTTGATGGCTTTAAATCCACATTCTGAGTCCTTGTATGTATCTATTTGGTTTGATTGTCAAATTACCTGTGTAAAACATTTTATACTAAGACCTCATGTGCTTGATATTTATCATTTTAAATTTGATTATTTTGTGGGTGTCTTGTTTTAATAGAATGGTGTACTTTGTCCACTTGGTTTTGTATTGTTTGGTGAGCCCTGTAGTAATCTGAAGAGTGAGAGTAAATGTGTCTGTGACAGCATGTCTGTGGCTGCTCCCTGACACAGTTGCTGATGAAAACTTAATCTGAATAACCATGGGAATTTTACAGCTTTAAATCCTGAGTTATCATGGCTTATCTTGTTATCATGTCTAACACACACTAAGGGGTAAAAAGACGCATGCAGAGATTTATTTTAATCTGACTATTAAATGGGTTTTTGAGTTGTTCTACATCAAGAAATCTGGTTTTATATCACATCTCATGGTTTTACTGATGCATATCTGCACCACTGATATTGACTTTGTCATTAGCTCCGACTGTCCACACATTGACTCTTCTCGTCCTCCTTCCTCCTGATCCTCCCACACCTCATCTGCTGCAAACAAGTGTTGCGGTTTCACTCCTGCGTCACTGACAATAACATTTTTCTGTCCTGATATTATGTCAGTGACTGTAAAGAAAAAAACAACCAAACGTTTAATATTGTTGGTTATTTACTAGACATTCCATCATTAGCTTACGAGTGTGGGTTTTCTGGAACCTATTCACACTAACCCAAGCTCCATTCCCACACCTAATTCTGACCGAACTAATCCTGCAATTTTTCAGTTTCCACCTGCCCACAAATCACTCTCATACATCATGGCTGGACAAGGAGACATGCTCGGCTGCACAACAACTTCCAAGTGTGCACTTTGGCACCAGGCAATAAGCTGAAGCAGGGCCCATGGAGAAGAATAACTGAGAGACTTTTCCCTATTGAGAATGATAGGTTGTTCTCTCTTCTATATATGAACTCCACAGTGCACAGTTCTTGGTAGCCTTGTTCGCTTACATTTGTAATTAATTACAAATAAAGATAAAGACTGGTGGTTTGTTTGCATTATACTGAATTGATTTTTTATTATTTTGCACAGAAATGTGCAATATCATAGTCCCTGATGTCAGCTAGTGATATCAACACAAGAACTGCTGAGGGATATTTAAAAACATGACATCACAATTTGAGGAACTCCTGTATTTAACACAATGGCTTTCATTTATATCCCACCATTATTATATATATATTATATAAAATAATATTGCGTCTTGTACTAAGTTCAGACGTGCACGGCCATTAGATATGAAATAAAATGGAGCAGATTTTTATGAGACGACACTTTGTGAGCTTAATCTGTCAGTGTTGAGGGAGAAAGTCCTGATCAACCACTTCTCAAAATAGTTACTTCAAATTCTCTTCCAACTGTGGTTTTGACAACATCCATGACTTAGGAAAAGGTGCATGTTGCGTTGCACTTGTAACATTATTTTGATTACATGTGATGGAAATTGCATTGGCTCTTAGAAACTGTAACACCCTGAAGATGTTTCACCTCTCATCCAAGAGGCTTCTTCAGTTCTAACTGGTGGTGGGGAATACAGCAAATATATACTGTGGGTGTGACAAATAAAGCTACTTCAGGTCCCTCCCTTCCTTGAGAAAATGTCATGTCCAGGTGCCTAACGATACTCTTCAACCTTAACCATGGTTAAATATTAAATATTATGATACAGGATGTTACTTTTTATGAACTTCCAGCGTTTTTTGACATCAAGCATATCCAATTTGACTATCTCAATAAAGTCACAGACTTCAGCCATAACTCCTCGACGTCAGAGTGATCCTTCAAGCAGTGATAACCTGCTGAAAATAACCATACATTTGTGATTTTGACCTGAATGTGTCACCGCAGCCTTTTATAGTCACACTAACCCCCTCCTCCACAGAGCTGCCTCTGGTTGGTCCTTCAGTCGGTCAGTCCTCAACCTATCTTGTGCTGGTAGTGAAACAGTGCGCGTGTGTGTCCGGATTGTAGAGTGGAAAGCTCTGGAGGACGTTGGCGACGTCAGTGGTTATGACGATGTCAGTGAAAAGAGAGGGAGGGAGAGAGAGATGGCTCGAACACATGACCGCTGTCGTTGCCACATGTCCGGGATTGTTTTTCTCTACGCTTGGTCCTCGTAATAACAACTTGTCCGGTTGAGGAATCGACAGCCGTTTTTTCTGTGGATATTATTTTCTGCCTGATTTTCTGTTTGGTTTGAGTGGGGGTCTCCCTCCGAGTGGAAAGTCTGAGTCGGGCTCAGCTTGGGACGAGGGTCGGACGCTGGTGTTGCGTAAAAGCGCTCTTGCAGTTTGGGAGAGAGTTACCGTGGAGCGGGCTAGTGCTCCTATGCGTAAAGGATGAACAACTCCAGCAGTCACAGGGTAAGCTGCTCGTTTTTGTTTGCTATCGTAAGATCAGGTATAGGTGTGAGCTGGGATGGAAAATGTCAGCAGCTGTCGCCTATTACGTCACACTCCGGGGTTATTTCGTCACCGTCTGAACACGTTTTGTCGCTGTGATTCTTCACAAAGCGCCGCAGAGCAGCAGCGGCAGCAGCTGTGGAGTCAGACATCATTACTGTGAGAGCAGCTGAGAGACTGATAACAGGCTGTTAATTCTGTTTATAGACACACAACACTTCTACTGAAAACCCTGTCATTTCAAACTTGTCTTGTTTCTCGCCTCATCTGTTTCCCTCAATTAGTCTAATCAGGATGTTTTCTCAACAATGGTGCTGTGCTGATGGTTTCGGCGTGTCACTGACTCAACCAGATGATTCAATCAATGAAATTATAACTTTCAGAATCGGTTCACGTCGCTACCTTCACCACCCACCAATCTGTTGGGCAGCAGGGGAAGATGATGAATGGATACATGGATGAGCTACTTCCCAAAAAATGAGTTTAGTGCAGGAAAAATAGATGAGTGGCCGGTTAGCAGTGGAGTATAAAGGAAATGATCTTAAATGAACAAGAAAATTATAAAGAAATTAATATCTAATGCATTTTACTGAGCCACGGGAAGACTGGTTTATAATCTACTGGGTATTAGCAATAGTTACTTACAATATAAATTAGTAGAGGTTAAAATATGTGTTGAGATTTGAATTCTGTAGTGCAAACAGAAGGTTATGAAAATCGTGTTGGAGGACACAGCTCCATAATAACTTGGGCGCTCTGCACTGTTGCACATGGGTCAGTGCAGCGTCACCTCAGTCAGCGGTCAGTGGTTGGCTAAAAAGTGTTTAAACCACTGTGCATTAATATATATTTGGCTAACATGACATTGTTACCACCCCTCCAGCAGAGGGAGTTTGTAAACACTATGCACAAGATGTCAAGTGGTTTTACTTTAATAAAAAAGCTACTGTATGTTCTTTTACATGTTTAATTAGAAATATGTGATGAGATATTTATCAACAAATAATATTTACCAGTTGGTCTTTCATTGGCTTGGAATAGGAATTTGTTTTGCTTCTCTACACCAGAGAAACACCAAAACTGAAGGACCCTTCAGACCCTTATGGACGAAACAAGATGTCTAAGACTAATCTATTAGTGCTGCAAAAAACAATCCAATTTTACAGTTGCATTTTATTACAGTTTATCCCATTTCTTGCACATTATGGACCGTTAATTACTCAAGAAGATAATCAGCTCTTTAATCCATGGTGAAATAACCATTAGTTTTAGCCCTGGAATCAGAAGATTTGTAAAAATAATCGTCCAAGTCAACAGCTTGGACTAAGAGTTGTATATTTTTATAATTACACAACTACCCAATTGTGTTTTTAATGGAGAGCCTCAATGGTCCATAAGTGATTGCCAAGCTGTGTGTCGCACTTAAACCATGAGACAAATATTACATTAGCAGGCTAATTAGATTTCCTGTGGGTAGAATGGCCAAAAAGATAATGATTTTCTCTTTGTGTTGTGTGTGGCTTGCTGGAGTTAATGGTGGAATTAGCTGGAAAACTTACTGACAATGCCATGAGGTCTGAAAGCTTTGTGACATGTCCTGCAGTCTTTCAGAGTGACACGTTACTGCTTTAATGTCTCCCAGTTTTCGCCATTTTTCTCCCCTCCCATTGAATAAATCTTTCCTAAAAGCCTTTGGGTCTGCAGCAGAGAAATGGTTGTGATTCCAATTAAACTTTAGGGTAAAATTAATGCACTTTAATGTCAGCGTTTTACTGCTATTTCCACATCTATTGAATAATAAATGTGCATGGTTTTGTTGGAATAATGTTGTTGTGTAGATGCCTGTCCACAGAGTGGAAACGTGTCCATCATTCATTGCTATTTTAGGATGAAGTTCACCATAGTGGCCACGTAAACACAAGCATTCTTAAAACCTCAAAGAAATACTCTGAAAAAAGGAAGTGAGTGAAAAATTCTTGAATCAACTTGCCGCCTCTTCAAAATTAATGGCCTGGACATAAATGTATACACAACAGACAGTCTTCAGGAGTACAGTTAGACGACAGGGTCGCAGCACTGACCGTTTCCTATAATCTCATTTGATTTCCATGTTATTTTAAACGGTCACTGTGTCTACAACAGACAAGGCCAATGTGATCTTTTCATTCCAGGAATACAGTCTGTCTCTTTCTGCCTGTGTGTGTGTGTGTGTGAATGCACATGTGCAGGCAGTGCAGTGGAAGCTCAATACATGTGTTCTCCCTACTACTGTTACAACCACAGCCCTCTATGATCATTAGTAGTGAAAAGGTCAGAGATGTTCCAAAGGTCTCACTCGTCCGCAGCAGGTCTCATTGATGCATGTTCTACAGTCAAACAATGTGTTTCTTCATCTTTAATTACACTACTTAATTTTTAATAGGTTAATTACAAAGACACATTACATATCATATTCCTATAGACTTAATGGCTTTTTGTTCAGAAATTTGATCCGCTAAGGAATTGGTTACATCTGACAATGCGGTGGAACCGCTGTAGAACACAGGCATCATTTCACAGGTAAAAGCTACTGCCTTGTTAGCTAAGTATGTGCCTCAGTTAATAAGGAATTGCAAACTGTGATGTCACAAAATGCTCTGATTGTAGTGTTCTTTTGAAGGCAACAGAGGGTGAAATTACCAAAGTCCAAAATTGCTGGTTTTGACCATGGCCTTATGTGCAGTGGTGAGATTGTGGTGTATAGTAGTCCTGTCCACATGGATATTCCAAAATATTCCTGCCACAATTACTGATTGAGACCATAATCTCTGATGGCCAATGTTTTCTTGTGCTAAAAACCAAGTTTTGGGAATTGTCTCAGTTTCATTGTTGACTTAACACAGCCAAGAAAGTCCCATCCTGTGGCTGTGCTGCTATTTCTTAACTTTTCAGTTTAAAATCCAATTTAATTCTCTGTATAGATTATATGGGCTAATCATAACAATAATAACCTTAACAAACACCTTAGCACACTGGAAGAAAACACCAGCCCTGTTACCATTGCTACCACCATGGCAACAAGGTTCCACTAATTAGTAGTAATTTGCTAATTAGGTTCAATTAATTCATGTTTTTGACTGTTTGCCGCACTTTTGCTGATACAATTTTTTTTAGCTTTTTGTTGCATTTTAAATTGCACAAGCAGCAAAAAAAAAGTCCCTGCCCCTGAAATCCTTGGCCCTAGTCTTCCAATCAATAACCACTTACTGCAGAGTAGCTCTCTGCAGCCCAGCCTCTCTCTCTGCTCTGATATCCATCTCTGTCTCTCTCCTTAAAGAGGGGTATCTCCAGGGTCACCTCTGCTTGTATCTGTTTGTCCATTTCCTCACCAGCTTATGAGCATTCCTTCAGTCAAATGTTTTTTGTTTTTATTTTTTTGTGCCAGGACATTCTGTTTTCCATTCTGCCACTGCTTTTTTGCCAGGGGGCTGTTATTGAAACCTCATAATGTTAAGAAACAGAGGGGGACTACAAAACCATTACTATGTGCACTGCAAGGCCTGAGAAGCTGTGGAAGAGGGAGGTTGATTGGAGTTTGTGTGTGTGTGTGTGTGTATGTACTGTATGTGCATGTGTGTGTTTCTTTGAGCTATTTGACCAAGGACCATTGTGAAAAATGAGCCACTTATTCTGTTGCTCTCCTTTTATATTACCTCTCCAACCACCTAATTATACATTTTATTATTAACTGATTTTTATATGGTCTTTCTCTGTCTCAGCCTACTGTACATATACATATACATAGATGAGTCACTTAACATTCACAATATATACATTCTTGCTATGGAAGCATCAACCATTCTTACCATTCCAGTATAGATGCTGCTGGCTATGTATTTGTTCAAACACTTCAAGTTTGTGTATTAGTCTGGACAGGTAGAAACTGAAACCACTTTATGAAAAAAAAAAAAGAATAAAAACTCAGCGGTGTCTGATTTCTAATGACTAAAGCAAGATTGTCAGTAAAACTTAGCGATAGCCCTTTTTGTCAACTTTTTCTTTCAACTTTATACGTTCATGTTACTTATATGTCATGTTTTTTAGGTGTTTGGTCGACTTGAACTTCCCACTCCAGAGCTGCTCATCTGATCCATCGTTCACCTGCATGTTATTGCGTCATGAGTATTAACTCACCCGAAGTTAAAAGGCAGCATAAAACGCCGCAACATGCTGAGACGTAGGACTTAGTTTTGTTTCTTGAAGTTAACATGAAGGTAATGAGATATGCTTTGAAAAGTTCAGGCAAGTTTTCCCCTGGTAAAACTCTGAGAAGGGTTAGGATTTTGCTGAGCAGTAGCAGGAGGAAGTCAGGGTTGATGCAAGAAGATGTACCTTTGGATTTAAATGCAACAGCAGAGGCCTTAATGATGCTGATTTAAGCGTGAGTGACTGACTGACTGACAGACAGATAGGAGGATGGATGGTTGAAGTAGAGTGAGAACCTGACAATACAACTGTGAAATCATAGATAGCCTGGTCATGAAGTGCACTCACTCACTCCTACAGATAAAGATACTAACGACAGGCGGCAGATAATAAGCAGCACCAGTCCACGTCTGTCTGTCATATTTCACCGAGAAAGGCAGATCCTGAGCCTTCAGTCATCTTTACTGAACAGTTTGAAGCCCTGTCGCACCTGCTGTTGTGTGTGTGTCTCCCTTATTTTAACACAGCTATTCTGCTGCCAAGCTGTGATGTGGTTACGTTTGGTTAGTGAAAGGACACACAGATTAATGTTCAAGCAGCAGCAAAAACACACTCCAGTGATCAATCTGCAGAGAAATGGATAAACCATCAATGCAGACGGTACTTCTAATGAAAAGCTTGCAGAGCCTTACAAAATCAATAATATTTATAA